ATCGAGAGCCGATAAATCTCTTCACGTTTATCTGGCTCGCAGCCGTGTGACTGACCACCGATCGCTTATTTCGGTGGAACGGTGTCTTCTTCACGCGTGCCGTTGGTATATTTTCACAGTGGGTTGGAAATAGCCGGCCAGTGGTCTAATATTATAATAGCGATGACTGGCATGCCGCGAACAACTCGCTAGCGAGCGAGCGGGCGGGCAGCAGTCGCGGCCGAGACGGCTGCCAGTTTCGAGCGTGTTACGCGAACGAGAACGCGACCGGATAACGTTACTTCCCTCCGCCATTCTGACACCACTGTCGCAGTTTCGTGATTTCCAGTGTTCGTCAAACGCTTCGCGATATTCTTGTTTCTCTGCTGACGAAACCGCTTTGGTGTTAAACGTCACGTGGATTCTTTCGCGGCGAGATTAGTTGGCCTAATACGTAAACGCGTTGAGTTTATCATCCCTTAACGCCTGACGATTAGGCTGAAGATTAGGGTATATCATCTCTGACGTTGACCTCACAGTTTAGATTCGCGTTTCATTATAATTATTCAAGTCAATTTAATTTAACATAAGTGTTGAATTTTTCATCCCTTAAAATTTAATGTGTTACTACAGTGAAGATTGATAGGGTATATTATAGATAGTCTTCTACCTTCTCATGTTGTGTTTGACGTACTCGTGACGCACCTCACAGTTCAGATTCGCGTTTCATTGCAATTATTCAAGTCAATGTAATTGAACATAAATGTTGAACTTTTCATCCCTTGAAATTTAACGTGTTACTACAGTGAAGATTGATAGGGTATATTATAGATAGTCTTTTATCTTCTGACGTTGTGTATGACGCACTAGTGATGCACCTCACAGTTCAGATGTGATTCGTGTCTCATTACTATTAACTTAGATTAGTAACATTATTTTATTTATTCTATGTGATGATTGCCATTAATTAATCCGATATTAACACTATAACAAACCGGTCAAACACTGTTTAAACTACCACAGTTACCCTCCGTAATACATAATTATACACATTGAATTTTTCATCCCTTAAATTTCAACGCGTTCCCATGAAAATTCATTTTATACCGTAAAATGCTACGTTTATGCTACTTGTCAATCAAATGATATCCACATCAAATATAAAATAAAAAATTTCTGTACCCACGAATCATCCCCCAAAAAAGTAGCACTTATAGTAATGCATTTATATGAAAGTATCCTTTAGCCATAACAATATAAATCTTCGAACAAAAAAATTTTGAAATCGATCCAGCGAAAGTTAGCTAACGCCGCTTCACGGAAAAATGAAAAAAGTTTCTATTCTCGTGTCGTTGTAACGGCGTGCTTCTGCAAAGTAGACGCGCGAATTTATGCAAACGTCAGCAGAGTATTAATCTCCGAACGTGAATTTTCCACGGTATTACGCAACGGCCCCGATACCGATTATTACTTGATAATACGTTCCCGTGGCGTGTCGTCGTGAACCTGTGATTTATGCATTATTTTCGTCGTGGCAAAAAGAGCTTCGCGTTGCAGAATTTTGCCAGTGAATTGAAAACGTGAAAAGAGGTGAACGTCGAAGCTGGCGAAAATTTGATTTAAACGTCAATGTGAGATCTTAATGCCTGGTGTATGCAGTTTTTAAGTGGACACGGTGAACGTGAATGAAAAGTTTCGATCAACTTTTAATTGCTGGTGGCGTTTTAAAATGTTTACGATATTGGATACGCGATGACATCTGCCATGGTGAACGCACGACGTAAAATGGTAAATTGTTATTCGTATTTAATATTATAAATTAGTACAAAATTAGTGTACTATTTACAAGTTTCATTAGTTTCATTACATACATAAGTTTCGTTACTCTTCTCAATATAAAGTTGATCGTTGAGTCTGAGTCTATTGTTGAGTCTCTGAATATGTTCATCACATGGACTTATACATAGGACAAGCTTGAAGTTTCAAGCTGATGTATGAATACTAGTTTGTGACTTATGTCATCAAATTTCTGTTACAAATCTGATAGTAAAATTATAAATACGTCGGTACCTATATTCTAACTGTATTCTACCTGTATCTAATTTTAGGGAAACAGACAGTATTAACATAGCAAAACAACACTAAATTTAATGCTTATAATACTCCTAATAGAGTGCAATCCATACTCCACAATCTAGACTTTAAATCCACTTAACTTCTCAGATCCTCCAAGATTTTACAGTGACATGTCAAAAATGCCCACCGACATCAAACTACCTCAAAGTTCCACCTTACTAAAATCATCCAATAATTTAATAATTTCGATTACTCAAAATGTCCATCACACCAGCTGTCCATCAACCACCAGGTGATTAGTCGATGGTTGACCAGAAGCGGTTCTTACGACAGCAGAACAGGCGGATTAATTAACGATTCCATTCAGCTAGAGAGAGTCGGTAATCGTCGATTAACCAAGAGGACAGTACGTTGCCATAATTGCATCGTAACGTGAACGATGGTAGCACCTATGACGGTGAACTGTTACCGGGTGTAACAAGGACTTCCGTTAACGACCCTTACGGCGTTCCATCTGTTCAGGTTCGGCTCCATAGAATGGTAATTCGGGCACGATTAATTCGCGATTCTGCAGGCAATATGTGCTGATGCAGCCGCGTGCATCAAATCTGTCGTAGAGTTCGTGATTGCACGTTGCCTCCGCGCGATACCAACCGGCACACAGGAATGCGCATTTCGGAATGCGTCTCGAGCTTGCAGCTACGAATTCTCCGCGTCGATTCACCGACATTAGATCGCCGACAGATTCAACGTTTCTAATTAGAATCGAGAATTATGCTCGTTTCAATGCATCGCAAACTGACGTCTTTTATGTATAATTATACGTTTCTGAATTTTCAAGTTTCTCCTGCATCTTCAAATATCTGTATTTCTCACAGTTTCAAATTTTCGGGTTTTTAACTTTTTTATAGGTGCAAATTTTCATGTTTATCGTATCTTTAAGTTAGAATGTCCTAAATTTTTCAACTATCCAAATTGCTCACATTTTCAGTTGTTTTGAATGTTGCCAACAAAGAGTAGTTATTTAAAAAATTCAGTTGTGAGTTTCTTTAGAAAGTTCTACTGTAAGCTATTTGTTTGCAAAGTTCAGTTGTAGGTTGATTGTTTAAAAAGTCCCATTGTATGTTACTTATTTAAAAAGTCCCATTGTAAATTGTCTGTTTATAAAGTTCAACTTCAAGTTATCTGTTTAGAAGATTCAGCTGTAGGTTATTTGTTTAGATAGTCCCATTGTAAGTTATTTATTTAAAAAGTCCCATTGCAAGTTATCTGTTTATAAAGTTCAACTTCAAGTTATCTGTTTAGAAGATTCAGCTGTAGGTTATTTGTTTAGATAGTCCCATTGTAAATTGTCTGTTCATAAGGTTCACCATCAAGTTATTTGTTTAGAAGATTCAGTTGCATATATTCATTTAAAAAGTTCAATCGCAAATTGTCTGTTTATAAAATTCAGATGCAAGTTCATTTAAAAGTTCATCCCATAAGTTGTCCCACAGGACAATAAGAAAATGGCGAACATCGTGTATTAAAATTACAATGCCGCTCGCGCATTCCAATTTCCACAAAAGAACACATATCATCGCGTTATCGGTATCCAAGAAAAATACGCCATAAATTGAATCGAAGACACGGAATCACCATTTCGGTTCTCCGCTCCAAATTGTTGAAACTGCGGGGCGTTTCGTGCAAAATACCCCCGTCCAATCTCGGGAAAGATAGCGTTAGAAGGACATGAAAAATGACAGGACGAAGATATCTCCGTCTGCGGAGAAATTGCTGTATCCATTTCTTCCGACCGGCTGCATGAGAAATCTGATTTAATCAAGTTGTTGCGAACAGGAAGCGCGAGGTTTCTCGGATTCCTTTTTTTCTTTTCCTGAAAGCTTCATGAAGAGTTGATTGTTGCGCGGGGAAATTCTCGAACGTGTTTTCCTTTGTGACGCGTACAGGTGCGATGGAGAATTCTAACGTTATTACGGGTTATTAGCGTGATAACCACCATAACCGAACACCATCGATCCATCCGACCTACTCCACCGCCTAATCTACTCCTCTGCGGGTCTCAAAATCAATTAACCAGTTAACTCGTTCGCTCTGCGGGACGCTTGGTCCCTCATGTAATTAGGAACTGACCCGTACCGGATTACCGGTGTAATCTGAGCTTCCTATTGCGCTCTCTTCTTGGTTCTATCTTTTAATTCTTATTGTTTCCTTCCTCTTTCTGCTCGCAGGTATTCATAGGATTTCAATGATGACCCACTTATGAAATATTTAAGGTTGAATTATTTACCTGAATTAAACTAAACTATTTTACATATTAGAGAAAACTTCGGCAGAGCCCATGTAGCACGTGTTATAGTATTCCGATACATGGTAATCCAGTTGAACAATGCAATGGAGGAGATATACATATGTGAATACAGGGTCAAACCGATGAAGCGCCACTGCGGAGTAGACTCCGTTGTTTTAGGACTAATGACAAAATTAAACTTTTCGTCCTCAAACAAGAAGAGTTAGTGAGTGCAATGAGGTTCATTTGAAAGAGGAAGGTTCATAGCTAAACGATATTATGTTAACCCCTTGCATTACTATTCAACATGTGTGTCAGACGTGTTCAACTAATATCACAATATCAAAACTGATGACAGAAATTACAATCCCACACCAATATTCTATTCAGCCTTAACACAAACTGTAACTACATCTGAATTGAAAATTCGCGTGTACTAAAAATATCACAAAAATTTACCCTACTGAAACTACAAGTTACAAGCACTGTAACGCAAAGGGTTAATATTCAATACTTTTTGCTAGAACGGTGATCAATGAGAGATTGTTTTGCGACCAATATAAACTTGAGTAAATGAATATTTAGCTGTGGAATAAGCTTTAATTTTGATTCGAATGAGAATCACAGTTTGATGTATGAAAATTTGTCAATGCAGGTGAATGGAGACGATGACTGGGAGTACGAGGAGATCGTACTCGAGCGGGGTGGCGCTGGACTTGGTTTCAGCATCGCCGGGGGTACAGACAATCCACATTTCGGCAACGACACTGCCATTTACATCACGAAACTTATACCTGGTGGAGCCGCGTCCGCGGACGGCCGTCTGCGTGTCAACGACACGATACTTCAGGTGAACGACGTGTCTGTTGTGGACGTGCCACATGCGGCTGCCGTTGATGCCCTCAAACGAGCAGGGAACACCGTTAAACTAGTAAGTTTTCATTTCTCGTATTTATTCTGCATACTTTTTACGATTATTAATTGCGAGATAATAGTCGCATTATTAATCATTCTTTTTGGCCAATGATTATAGCAGTCGAGGCCCTTATAAAATCAATCAACCAATTATTCATTTTGTTATTGAGGATGACTGTAGTCATTCTTCAAATTACGTTAATTCCTTTCGTTATTATCGTTTTCGAGTTAAAAGTGATTAAAGTCACTCATTGAAATGCCATATTCATTCATTTCGTTATTAAAAGTGACTATACCATATTATCGTTTTCGAGCTAAAAGTGATTAAAGTCAGTTATTGAAATGCCACATTCATTTCGTTATTAAAAGTGATTGTAGTCACTCGTCAAAATGCATTCATTCATTTCGTTACTGCAGTCACTGTAGTGAACACCACTAATCAAAATGTGACATTAATTAAAAAAAATTGTAATGCTTCCGTTGTTGAATTTTTCTGTTATTTGTGGACACTGGATAATCGATATGGACAACATACATTGTCAATACAATATTGTGTATATTCCAATATTGTCAACAAATATCTAAGGAAAATATATTTTGAAAATACATATTGACAATATTCTGACAATGTATATTGCAAGTTTGAAGATCCTTAAACCAACATCCTGTGATGTTGAAAATCCAGAAATATTACTAGTGTACATATATTCGTTTATCGTTTGAGTCTCCTGAGTAAGAAGTATTGAAATATTGTAAGAAATATTGAAATCTTGTAAAAGACGTACTCGTAACAGATTTGATACAGCATGTAAAATTGGAAAGACGTTTCGAATCAAAATGTTTATTTTTCTCGATGGTAGAAGTCCGATTTGAATGAAGGATTTTGTAAAAATATAAAAGCAACGACGTTCGATAATAACATCGATTAAGGGGATGCAAAAAGAAGGCGGGAAAGAGGAGAATGGATGGCGCGAGATTTGAAAGATCTTTTGCGAACAATGAAGCTGAGTCTGCTGGAAAGAATCCGTTTCAGACGTCCAATTATTATCCGGTAGCTTGACGCGAGATAATCGCAAGCGACGACAATGCCGGCTGTATATCTTGCGGAAAACTGAGCTTCCCTCGCTTTCTATCTCCCTTTTCCACTTGAAATAATGGTCGTCGTTCGCGTTTCTTTAATTCTCTCTATATCTCATCGTGTAAAATTTGCTGCCCGAAATTAAACTTTTCTTGCTCGAAAACTGAAACATTATATAAACTGAATAATTTATGCTATTACGAATTTCTGTACTTTCATATTTGCAAATTTTTTAATTTCCAAATTTTTACATTTTCAAGTTTTTACAGTCACGCTACTTTCGATTTTCAATTCTACAAATTTAAAAATATTTATTTTCCAGACTTTCAATTATCTAGTCTTTTAAATTTTTCAGATTTTTGCAATTCTTAAGTTCCATATGTTTTCCAAAAATTTTACAATATTCCCTAGCTTCCAAAAACTAAAAATTTCCTCAGATTTAGTGGACTCCTCAAAATTCTTCAATTTTCTAGGAACTAAAAATTCCCCAGGTTCCTCAGATTCTTCAAATTCCTAAATCCCTAAACTCTCAAAAGTTCAAATTTCCAAATTTTGCGCTCAGTAAAAAATATTCGCAGCTTTGTAAATCCTCGAATCTCAAAATTCAGGAAACCCGGTCACAAAAAATGTCCCACATTCGTCGGCATCGATTTCTCCTCTCGAGGATCCAAGCTCCAAAGATATTGCAACGAAGCTGACTTCATGCTACAAAATAATAATCCCCGAGGTCGTAAACGCTTTTACGCTTACCTCGCTCCTGTTTTCTGGCCACTCGAAAACGGTTAATAACGCGGACGAAAAAGATAAAAAGGTACGGCGGCACGAATCCAGGCGACCGTGCACGATTCAAAAAATCTCGCCGCGTTTGGAAGACAATATTTTTCGAGCACCGCCGCGGCTAAATACCGGACGGTTGCCTTCGTGAATTTTATTCTGCTCGCATTTAGAGCGCCAGTTTCAGGAAACGCTCGCCGAGCCTGAACTCGACCCATTCAAATGCTAACGCGTTCATTGGCGAAACGGCCCGGCATTGTTTCAATCCTTTCGACTACTGATTTACCGGCGTACCTTGCGAACAGTTATGAAATTAATTTCTTTGCGTGCTGTTATTTAATCGATCTCACGGTCAACTTTCAAATGTCACTGTTTCAGTCAACATGTTTTCACTCATTCACTGCTCGATGCTACCTCATGCATTTTACATTCATTCGAGTCATCGAGACTTTTTAAACATGAAAATTAAATGAATTAAAATGAAAATTAAATATCCAAAAAGTTAAAGTAAGCTTCGAATGTTTCTTTACGTATAAATTTTGAGATTCGTACTTTACGAAATGGCTGAATCCTACTTTTCGTTTAAATTGTGTGAAAAGTATACTTATGTGTCATCGAACCTCGATGACTGTTTGGACAACTATAGCCCGAAAGTGGGGACTTGTTCAACAGCTATTTTTACACAAATACGTAATATGAATGTTAAGAAAGAATGAAAAACGAATCTAAATTCGGACGTGATTTCATAAATCCAAGTTTAAAATTATCAAAGAATATATTTAATCAGAAATCATCAAATAAACAGGAATATACTGAACATGATTCTTGAAGTATTTGGTCACTTTTTTTGAGCTTGTGTCAATCACCCAAGAAAAAAGTATAAGTCGCTAAGGAACTCGGAAGATGAATTAGAGGTATAAATTTGTTGGGTAAACAGCGGAGAAGAAATATTGGTGCAAGGTGGAATATTTTCTTCGGGTCGAGCATCAGACGGGCGTTTAATTACGTGGATTCATTGTTGCACCTCTCTGAAAGAAAACCACCCCGATTTACTCGGGAACAGTAAACCACCCCGTGGAAACGTAAATTCTGCTTCGAACCTTCGGTAAATAAGGAGCTTCAATTTTTGAATTGGCGAAGAGATTTTGAATTTGGCTACCTTCGCATCGAAGTCTTGAAATATCTGGTATCTCACACAGATAATAATTTTTATTTTGATACAAAAAATCAACACATCAACCGCAGTAAAATTGCACCAAGTTTTGCTCCCAGTTTTGAACCGAATTTATATCTTTAAAGAAAAATTGTACGTAAATTCTGCTTCGAACCTTCGGTAAATAAGCTTGAATTTTTGGATTGACTGAAAGTTTGAGATTTGCGGAAAAATTTGGCTACCTTCGCATCGAAGTCTTGAAATATCTGGTATCTCACACAGATAATAATTTTTACTTTGATACAAAAAATCAACACATCAACCGCAGTAAAATTGCACCAAGTTTTGCTCCCAGTTTTGAACCGAATTTATATCTTTAAAGAAAAATTGTACGTAAATTCTGCTTCGAACCTTCGGTAAATAAGCTTGAATTTTTGGATTGACTGAAAGTTTGAGATTTGCGGAAAAATTTGGCTACCTTCGCATCGAAGTCTTGAAATATCTGGTATCTCACACAGATAATAATTTTTATTTTGATACAAAAAATCAACACATCAACCACAGTAAAATTGCACCAAGTTTTGCTCCCAGTTTTGAACCGAATCTTTAAATATAAATTGTATTTGAATAATCTAAGAACTAAGTTTCGTGAATAATCCAAGAACGATTTATCGATTGGTTTTCAGTATGTACGACGACGAAGGCACACACAGCTGATCGAAATCGAGCTAATCAAGGGAAACAAGGGCCTAGGTTTCAGTATCGCCGGTGGTATTGGCAATCAGCATATACCCGGTGACAATGGAATCTACGTAACGAAAATTATGGAAGGCGGTGCTGCTCAAGTGGATGGCCGTCTTGTCGTTGGAGACAAATTGGTTGCCGTCAGAAACGCTCTGGTGAGTTCGTGCAAAATTATATTCCCCTTTGCTCTGATTTTATTCCGGCTGACATCGCACTGTCGCGGCTAAATTAATGTAAACTGCATTAATCTTGACGTTCAACGACTCAATTCTCCGCGACGATCTTTCCTTACTACCAAATGCTTCGCACCTTCTAAATCGATTTTAGTTAGACACGAAAATACGGCAAAGTATAGAAGCTTCAACTGTTGGTGATGAAGAAATTTTTTAACTCGGGATGTTTTTGAGACTCAAGATGAGGTATTTGAGAACTTTAGAGTATGAAAATCTCAAGTTTGGAATTTGGGGATTTGAAGATTTTTTTTTTGAGGATTAGAACATTGATATTATTATATTAGTTATGTGTGTTATATTTAAAAACTTTGGTCTTCATTACAGTTTATCAAAAATTGAATCAAAAACAATTTACCTCTAACATACTGATGATATATGAACCCACTAATTCTGATAAATCCCACAAAGAACGAAAATTCCCCGAAAATAATTCATCAAAAAGACCTTCCCTAATTACCCCAATTTCCGTATAAAATGATCATCCGTCGGAACCGCAAACGCGAAGATATATTCTGATTCTAAAAACGCGCAAGAAGCGTCGAAAGTTAAAATTCAATTTGTCTAATTTGAACGGTCACGATTTCAATAAGACGAGGTCGTAATAAATTTCATCGGGCGATGAAAGCGGGCCATCGATTTTATTCGCAATAAATCGTGGAATAACGTCGGTGATAGTCGAATTTCGAAAAATCCGAGTTACCTGAATGACCCGACAGCGTGCGCGAAAAATAGATCAGAGAGTGGTTTTTGATGAGGACGAGTAAATTGATAGCTCTTCCGTCGGCGTGGCGGATCGTTACCGTGGTTGCGATTGGCGTGGCACGTCGTCGTTCCACGGCTTCCCACGATTTTTCTGCCTCGTCGAGTTCCCTTTTCTTCGCGCGTTTCCTCGCCGCCGAAAAAGCTGCGATTAAAGGCGGCCAACATCGGACTCGTTGATTTATAACCGCGCCTGCTACAATTTCGGACGTGCGAAAATCCACGGACGCGTATCGCGACGTGTCTTCGCTGCCGCGTTGAGTCACGATTTTTTCCATCCGGTTATTCCGGCGATCTGCTATTCGAAAATTACTTTTTACGCGTTCTTTTTTTATCCGTCGCTATTTTAACGTTTTGGAGATACCGTTATCTTCGAGGGAATAATATGGACGATGTTATTTAAGAAAATGTGTAATAGCACGCGTTTGAGCTTTGTTATTTCATCAATTATGAGAATCTTTAAATTACTCACTTTTTACTTTATTCTATTTTATAGGAATGCTGTGACATTGTTATCTAGGGATTTATGGATATTATGGTATGGTATGAGAATCTAGGGATATGGGGATCTAGGGATATGGGGATCTAGGGATATGGGGATCTAGGGATATGGGGATATAGGGATATGGGGATATAGGGATATGGGGATCCAGGAATATGGGGATCCAGGGATATGGGGATCCAGGGATATGGGGATCCAGGGATATGGGGATCTAGAGATATGAGGATCTAGGGATATTTTGGGTCTAAGAGATATTGGTATTTAGGGATATTTTGGGATCTCTGGATATTTGAGGATCTAGGAATATTGGGTTCCAGGTATATTTTGGGGATCCAGGGATATTAGGCTCTAGGTATATTCTGGGGATCTAGGGATATTGGAGTCTGAGGGTATTGGGGTTTGGGGATGTATGGATCATGGGATATTTCGGTCGAAGGATTTTTGAACCTAAGAATATCTAGGTCTAAGGATATCTTGATCTAGGGATATCGTTACCTAGGTGTGTCCTTACCTAGGTATATATATTTGGGAATATCAACGCGTAGAGTTATTCAAACCTCAGCCTATTCGAACATAGCAATATTGACATTTAGGATATTAGGATATAGTGACATGTAGATACATCGATTTAGATGGTATGGATAGGGATATTCAGTTCCACAGATATAGAAGTATCTTTATGATGTTAGACCTGTAAATCTGGGAGTATACCATATGTACATTAGAATTTAGTAGTCAATTAATCCCAACTGGAATGCTCATAACAATGAAACCTTATAAAACATTGCAAAATTAACTTGGTCGTGAACATTGAATTAAGCTGTGAATTAAACAAAATTAACTTGGCTGTCAGTACACAGAAATTAATTTTGTTAGTTCCAACGTAAATGCGAATCGATCGCTTCGAACATATCCCCTGTCGAAGAAAAGATAGGATTCATAACAGATCGAGTTTCTTTCGACGTTTCAAAGAACGATTTGTTTAAAAGTTTTCGAGGTACGTTGTAGGTTGGATCGCAAGTCGATTTAACTTTCCGCATGATTGCGTGTCGGCATACACTTCGGAACAACGAACGTTGCAGGAAGTTCGTCAGTTGTTTATGACATGGTGCAGAAACTTTTCGATGTCGCTTTTTATGCGTGTCTGCCACCGTTGGATAATTACCACCCACTTTTCGTGCCGTCGAATAAACACCTACCGACCGGAACAATTTGCAACCGGCAGTAAAAAATAAGAACGATGAAACGCGACTTTGTGGCAGATTTATTCGCGTTGTTTATAAACTTGCGCGGTATACCTTCCCTCTATTTTATTGTGTCTAATGCGATGTTTTGCAAAACTTGTGTCGGAACGTGTAAACACTTTGCGGAACGTATGTCGAAAAACGTATGAATACTTTAGAAAATATAAAGTGGAATATGTGAATATATTGCTGTGTAGTTTATGTCTTGCGAATTTGATGTTTTGCACAATTTGTGTTGGAACTTTGCATATGGAACATATGAACACATGTGGAGTAACATATTATTATTTTGAACATGTATCGTTATATTTATGAAGGAGAAATATAGTATTTATTACCTACTTCAATATTCCGCAAAATTTAAAAAATCAGATATTCTATACTTTTCATTTCTTCAAGATACATAACCATAAAATTATATCGCTACAGATTTACAAAGATATTTTATTTTATACATACACCTATTGAACCATTCGAATAATGCGACACATGGATAGTCAAATGCGGTTCAACAACAAAGAGCAAACTGTCAGGATATTTATTTCATAATCCATCGAAGTGCATCGTAAGAGGTAAACGAACGATGATTGACAGGGGTAATTGAACGGGTGAAATCAATTACGAAGGCTCGCGAAATCTTGATCGATACGCGGCCACCACGGTAGAGACCGGTTTGCATTTTCCTGCTCGATTCTTCTCTTTTTTTTTTAACACCTCGCACGCTGGAAAATGTATATGGTGAAAGGGAATGCGTGCGAGAATTAAGATGAATGGACGGTGTTGATGAATGAAGAGAAATATTTTACGCGAAGGAAGAACGACGATTAAAGGTCTGCCGCTTCCGTGTCCGCGCGGATATCTCCGACATCTTGACGTTTCTAATAAAAGGTGATAAACAATGGTGTAACGTTGCGTTAAACCTCGGGGAATTAAAATGTCGTTTTTATCAAATCTAAGATAATGATCGTGCGGAGGATCAGCTATCGCAAGTTATTATTAATTGAATTCATTACTGATATTTGGTTATGCGGTATCAAATTTTGATATACATAAAGATCTATGGACAAGCTCTGAAAATTCACAAACATACCCCAATACATATCCCTTGTATGATACATATAAAGTGTGGAAAGATCTATGGACAAGCTCTGAAAATTCAGAAACATACCCCAATACATTGCCTCTCTTGTATGACATAAATGTTATAAATAGAACATTTCAACAACGTCGTCAAACTTCATATTTAAAGTTTGATTCGCAAAAGAGAGGATAAAAAAGAGGATTGATTTGATTCCAGCAGGGTGACAAGAACCTGGAAAATGTGACGCACGAGGAAGCAGTGGCGACACTAAAAGCGACCCAGGATCGTGTGGTCCTCCTGGTGGCGAAACCGGAAACCGGAATTGTACCCCCGCCACCACCCCCGATGGCCTCGGACAATTCGCTCTCTCCACAACCACGTAAGCTAGCACCCATATTCTATTCACACATATATTATTCACTTTCCCGTAGACGACTTTCTTCCCCCGTCGCGTGTCTCGTCGTTTCGGGACATTCTCGGGATCTTTTCTTCTCGAATTTTCACGACGCTGCCTTCCGGAATGATAAATATTTCACGCTCCGCAGAAAAATGTTCGGGTTGCTTTTGTTCGTGTCCGCAGCCAGAAGGAAACTCTTTTTCCCCCGTCGCTTTAAACGTGGAAATACGAGCAGTTTAAGGGTGTTTTTGTCGGTGAAAAACGGAGAGTCGATGACGGATATTTTCAATTATAAATTTAATTGGAAGTTATTGATAACTGCTTTCGGTCGAATAATTAAAATGGAGGAAGAATATTTTGATTGTTATTAAACTGAAAATTTACTATAATAATTTGTAGTTTCCATTAGCGGGAATACTCACTGTATTAATATAACATAATTTCCTTTTGTTTAAATAATATGATATCAAAATTGTTAATATAATAAAAAATGTAGTAGTATAGAGATAGAAAAGAAAAAATATTACTTGTTAAAAATCGTTTTACAATGAAAGATTCAGCACGGAATTAAATCATGTTCAAGGTAGGGGAATTGTCTGCTTGTAAATATTTCACGACCTCTATATAAGATTGAACGTGCCTCGAACAGGAATCAGTTTGCGTTCTTCAGCCATGCGCGTAAGATCGTGATTCCTTGGCTAACAGTGGCTTGTGTATCGCTGTCTTTGGTAATCAATTTTAAACAATTAATTTCAATTTCTTTTTATATTATCTTTCACAGTATTATATTATATTATGTTTTACATTATTCCATTGCATAATTTTTTATACCCCTTCATTTCACATTATTATATTATATTATGTTTCACATTATTCCATTACACAATTTTTTACACCCCTTCATTTCACATTATTATATTATATTATGTTTTACATTATTACACTGTATAATTTGTAGCACCCCTTCATTTCACATTATTATATTATATTATGTTTTGCATTATTACATTGCATAATTCTTTATACTCCTTCATTTCATATTATTATATTATACTATATTTTACATTATTACATTGTATAATTTTCTACGCCCCTTCATTTCACGTTATTATATTATATTATTTTTTACATTATTACATTACACAATTTTTTACACTCCTTCATTTATCACAAGGTCGGTTTAAAAATTGTTCATAATTTTTCTCAATGCAACATTTTTACTAAAATTGAATTACTTTCATACATTTAACTAAAGTATAAATAAGTACAATTATTTGATACATAAAGGGTAAATATTCTATTCAGTGAAAGTAACAAATTATTGAATAATTTCATTAAGTATCCACCTATAAGTAATTCTTCAAAGGTAGACATTAAATATTTCAAAACCTTCCTTCACCAAAATGGCGGACAATTTCTGAAGCCAATTTCTGAAGACTTAAACGTTTCGTAATTCTTCCAATTCTCAAGGGTCAGGCGCGAAATTTAAGAACGAAACTCTCCGTTTTTCTACGAGGCACCAAAATAAATTTTTGATCCACCTCCTTTTTCCCCGATTCTCATGGTATCCCGTCCGTCTCGCGATCACGCCGTACGTAACTTATTCATCGCGCTCGTAAAGGCGGCCTCGTAAAACTCTCTGTTTGGCGGAAAACACTGCAACGACTGGTTTCGCGTGCGCAACCTGATGTTGCTCGTTTAGCTCGAAAATTCTGGGTACCGGGGTAGATTTATATTTACCCGCATCCAAATTAGATTTTAAACAGTTTTAATTTTACTGGCGGGTCTAATTTCGTCGACAAATACGCGTGCGTTTAGTATAAAGACTCTTTAACGAGCAGCCGTACACGTGGATCGTAAAAGAAACCGAACTTTAATTTCCTGATCAAAATTTCCAACGCTGTTTTATATTTCGGGACTGATACTTAATCTTGATAATTTGGAAACTGTGTTTGCACGTTTCGAAAGCTTTGATATTAAGATTTGGATACTTGCCAATTTATAAGTTTGAGTGTTTTGGAATTACAATTGTGCAAATTTTTTAAATTTTCTTTTTTAAATTGTATTTATGAAATTGTATTGCTTGCAAATTTCTGAGTTTGAAAATTGTTCAATTCATCAATTTCATCAATTTTCATCAAACTTCATAAGTTCTTGTTGATTCTCACAATGTTTTATCAATAACATGAATTTCATAAATTGTTATCCATTTTCATTGATTTTTATAGTTTATATCAATTTTGTATTAATCATCACCCTTTTTTAATTACATCTTAATAAATCATTTTCGGTTTCATACATGTCATGCACTTCACATAACGATCATGTTCATATGAGTCTTTTGATGAACTCTTAACCTGCCCATGATTACAGACACATGTACACAGCCACAAGTAAATTGTACATCCTTTATCTTTTAATAAAATATAAATCGACCCAGTTTCCCGGTATTATCAGCGCGAAATCACGCCCCGAAAGTTAAGCATCAAAGGAAACTTGTAAATTAGCCGTTGTTTGTTTGGTAAACAGGGAAACAAAATGGTTCTGTGTCGGCGTTGGAGAACAACTCGACGCTGCCTTACTCGCAAGAATCACGTCACGCGTCTTCTCTCGCTCTTCACGGTGCGGCCACGCCACGAGCTGTTTCTCAGGAGGACGTATCACGGTGAGTTCTTTCGAAGCATGCTTTTCTTTACTTTTACGACGAAAGCACCAAGTACCGCCACTCTCTTGTGCTCGTTTGAAGTCCGTTTTTTTGTGTCTTTTTCTCCGTGTGTTATTTTCTAAGTGCAAAGTATCCTTACTCTTTCTTTTCGCCGTTTCGGCCTTGTGTCTCTTTTGCCACGTGGAAAAATTCGCTTCGAAAAATAAGCGTCACGTACGCTTCTTTCGGTGGAGAAATCGTTCGAGATCTCTTGTCTTATTTTTTACTGGTCGGAGGAGACAATTTCTAAATCACGAGCTATTGAGATCTGGAGAGAACGTGACGCACAGCGATAAGCTTTGACGTCACCTGTTTGGCCCACGTGTAAAAAATTCATCTGAAGAGATTAGGTATTAGAATTCTGTATAATTTCTTATTAAACGATGTACTGAAAAATAATCAGCGATTATTTAACCAAAATAAGGTTAAAAGAAACAATAATTTAAATATTCTTACACCGACCTCGTTTCACCAATGGAACAAGTATTAAAGAAAACACAAAGCTATAAATATCAGGTCGCTAATGACCTCGTCGATACTAAATCTTAAATAAATAATTCAGCAAACGAAATTTTTCGATAAATAATTTCACTCTCCTCTGACAGTTTCTTTTAAGCTCCTCGTTGGATGCCGAGAACCTGCGTCAATATCGTTCTAAAATACAAAGCTCACGGGACGATCGATTGTACGAGTTGCAAAGGTTAATGGTACGGCAAACTACGTTAAAATAACGTACCACAGCGTACACAAACTCTGTGAAGCATTTAGTACGGAAATCTACTGTCTCGGATCGAAATCTCGACGTTGTTTCGGACGTCTCGCAAACGTAGGTTCTCAACTGTTATGCATTATTTCACGCTCTCTTTCGAAGTTTTGTGAATTCAAAATAAATTATTCCGAGGTTGAGAAGGTTTCAGATTGGATTGGATTTCTGATTCAGATTGGAGAAATTATTCAAATTGTACTTAAAATATTATTTTGAATATCTTTGATTTAAAAATTGTATGTTACTTTCAAATTGTTAAGGGATCGTTAAATGATTTTAGTGCATATATGTTATAGCATATATGTACATTACACGTCTAATGAATTGTAGAGGTTCTTTAATTACTTTCATGATGTGCACACGTATTGTCTAATATAAATTACTGGTACCGGAATTCTTCAATTACTTTAACGATGTACATATGTACATGTCCAATATAAATTGTTGGCGCTGGAATTCTTTAATTACGACTTTGGTAATATGCACGTATATTCTATGTCTAATATCGGAGGTCTTTAATTATGACTTTAATGATGTGCATATATATTATGTCTCTAATATAAATTGCTGTTACTGCAATTCTTTAATCACGTCTTTGATGTTATGCACATGTGTGATGCGTCTTATATAAATTGCTGGTACTGTAATTCTTTAATCAAGACTTCGGTACTATGCACATGTATAATCTGTCCATAATAAATTACTGATACTGTAATTTTTCAATTAAGACTTTGATATTATGCACATGTGTGATATGTCCAATATAAATTACTGATACTGTAATTCTTTAATTACGTCTTTGATGTTGTGCACATGTGTGATGCGTCTTATATAAATTGCTGGTACTGTAATTCTTTAATCAAGACTTCGGTACTATGCACATGTATAATCTGTCCATAATAAATTACTGATACTGTAATTTTTCAATCAAGACTTTGATATTATGCACATGTGTGATATATCCAATATAAATTACTGATACTGTAATTCTTTAATCAAGACTTCGGTACTATGAACATGTATAATCTGTCCAATATAAATTACTGATACTGTGATTCTTTAATCAAGAGTTCGCTATTATGCACATGTGCGATACGTCTAACATAAATTGCTGTTACTATAATGCTTTAATTACGTCCTCAATATTACTCACATATGTGATACGTCTAATATAAATTGCTGGCACTGTTCTTTAATTACAACTTCGCTATTATACACACATGTGTCTAATAGTTAATACCGTAATGTAAAGACGATTCCACTATTAAAGAGGTTGAGAATCTCTGTGCTAACTCAATCTTGCATCAACTCCAAAGTGACTGACCGAACGCGCAAATCAACGACAGCAGATTGTGTTGTGTACGAAAACAACGGTGAATAGGGAGGACTGTTACTCCAGAGGTTGGGACATAATGTGTCCAAAGCAATCCTGTCTCTGGCAGGCGGACCGATTCGATAAGCCCTTAATCCATCGGCAATTAGTCCGCACGGTGGCCACCGCAACCCCTTCGCAGTTGCTCCGCTTCCTAAACCTCTGTACCACCCCTCGTAAATGATCACTGTCTCTCTCTGTCTCGTCGAATAACGCCGTCCGTCTCCCATCTTCTCTTTGTCGGCTAATTCAACAGCCTCTGTGATTGTATAATTAACCAACGGCTTGTGTGTATTTACGCATGCTGCTTGCCCACGCTGTTCACGAACCGTTGCCTCAGACATCCACGAAAGATTCCAAATTCTCAATCCTCATCTGATAAATTATCCTTAATACAAGGATATTAAGGACTTAAGCGGATAATCTGCATACCAGGTGTCTTTTAGTGACAGAAATGTCTGTCAATTTGATCAAATTGTATGAAAATGTTGATCAGATCTGAGTTTGAAGTTTGTGTTGTTATTAGTGCAAAGAAGAAAGGTTTAGATGGTTGTTGTTGGGTAGGAAATGTTCTCGTTTGCATATTGGTTTAAAATGGGTTCGCGGAGCAATTACGTATGCATCACGACTGTATCGGTTATGACGGCAATTTACATTCGAGATGGTATTTCCTCGTAAATCTATGGGATTGAAAACTCGTCGAAGTTGTAGGGAATCCGTGGCTCCTCTCGAATTCCCGTTGATCGATGGATATCGTGGGTAATGGCGGGGATATCGAGAGCAATCCCGCGCGAAGCACCCTCGAGAAGCGAATAACGCCTCGGTTTAACCGCAGGTGCGAGGGCAACTTTCGCGATCCGGGCTCACTTAATGAAATATTCCGTTCACGGCAATATTTAATGGCGGGTTTCCGGCCGCGGTTCACGGACTAGTCAAAAGTGCAATTAGTTCTTCCTTCGTTCCCGACTCCGTTGTTCACCCCTTTTCTTTCCTGCCCGTTTCCCGTTTAAAGTTTCAAGCCTCTTCCGGCTCGCGGTCGAAGAATCGGATTTAGCCCGTGGCGATTTCGCGTGTCCCGAAACCCTGAGACGGAAGACGAACCGAACGTGAAAATCCACGCGAAAGAGTAAGATGAAACCGGAGTACAGCAAGAGCAAGTTATTACGAAGCTCCGCAATCGGAGGAAATCTATGTAAAAAACTTTAATTTCTGCCCCCGTAAATTAGCTAGCACCATTATGCCCAGGCCGTAATTTATCCTCCGCTGCAACCCCGCTTAGAGAGTTTCAAGGGGAGTTAGGATGATTATTTAGCGCTCGACCGGTTGGAACTTTATCGTTCGTGTCCCCTTCTCTCAGAGATCATGGGGAATATTTCCGGAGTTGTTAGGAACGATTCGTTTAACTCTCTGGAGGGGACACTTTTACACACCGCAGGGACTTGTTAGGACACTGCATTACTATTTTATTTCATATATCAATGTTAGTTTACTTTTCTAAATTCACCTACAGATACGTGGATTAAAATACATTCTCTCCTTGAAAGTGTATCAATGTATATCATTATTCAATTTGAACTTGTCTTTCAAAATTTAGTTTCTTAATATTAAACTCAGTTTTGGTCATCAGTCAAATTAAAATTTTGTTCAAATATCTGTTGCGTTTAATATATTCCTATTATCGAATCATCTGTTATTAGCAACAATAACTAATATTATCATCATCATTTTATTGATCAAATTTGGATTTTATATGCATGGTTACATGAATTTTATGCACTTTTATGCACCTTAATTAAATGTTGGATTATTCAATTTTGTAAGATAAATTGTACTTTTATGTACCTTGATTAAATGCTGGATTATTAAATTTTGTAATATAAATTGTGAAAGCTGAAACCAGTCATTTTGACCGGTTTAGCAATCGATATAAAGCGGTTACACTTCCGTTTTCACAGTAACTAGCCTATTAATACAATTCCTCTGAATCAAAGAAACAGTATAAAAGTAGTCAATCGCTCAATAACGTCGAATGACGTAAGAACTGCGTTTTCTAGGAAGTTCGTATTGTCGCCGAAGGGTCTTTAAGAAACGTCGATTTCAGAGCCAAGTAAATATCAATCTATCGTTCCGCTCTCTCTTTTCTCTTGGATAATCGATTCTTGGATGGTTCTGCTTGTTTTTCACTTCGAAACACCTCATACTTTTCACGTTACGAATTACCGAAAAACAATCTTGGTAAGAATGCCGAAAGCGAATAAAACTGTGGCTATTGTCACTTTTAACTTTTAATTCTCTGGTGGAGACATTTCCTGTATCGAGTGTTGGTCTCGTTCACAACTTATTTGAACTGATAAATTACACTTTTCTCTGAGAAAATAAATAGGAGACTTGTAGAAAAGGTATGACTCATGAAATGACTTAATATGACTAATATCGAGCAAGCTTCTTTGGATTGATTCATGTGTGGATGATCATTGTAGCAGGTGAGTTTGGTCATTGTGACAAACCTTGCATGATTATGCAAAATTGTTCTACACTGCATTACTATTTTATTTCATATATCAATGTTAGTTTACTTTTCTAAATTCACCTACAGATACGTGGATTAAAATACATTCTCTCCTTGAAAGTGTATCAATGTATATCATTATTCAATTTGAACTTGTCTTTCAAAATTTAGTTTCTTAATATTAAACTCAGTTTTGGTCATCAGTCAAATTAAAATTTTGTTCAAATATCTGTTGCGTTTAATATATTCCTATTATCGAATCATCTGTTATTAGCAACAATAACTAATATTATCATCATCATTTTATTGATCAA